TAAAATGGACACACTAGACAGACATGGTATTCTGTTTCTACATTTTGGAAGATACAAATTTTACTTTTACGTATGCCTAATTTTCTACCCTGTGATATCATGAGATCACTACTTGATGTGCGAAACTGTGAAAGAGTAATCCTAATTGCATCAATATTCACAGCATTTAAATAGTTTTTCATATTCACTGGATAACTTAATTGTTTAATAAAATACAGTGAAGATAGTTTGTCAAGCGATTCATAGAGAAACTGATTATCAATATTAATACACCGTGTTCTAAAAAGCTGATAAAAATGATTGAGTGCAGGAAACGGACTGCCGGTTCCAAATTTCACCAAATCCATAGGAACATAAGAGGGTTTTAACTTTAAGTGCCCAACAATCCAAAACCTTTTCAGCCCGGTTGTACTGATATACATAAGTGTAATATGATATACTGTTTTCTCACTCTGGGATAATAAACGTAACCAATACTTAATTATTTTCAAATGTTGATTAACTTTTAATGAGTATCTCCCCAGTTCAGCTCTCGCAACTATATTAGGGACAGATCTTCTTAACTTTAATATGAGTTTACAGAATTTATCATGATCATTCACAATATCTTTAGAAGGATGGAATCCGCATATTTCTGAGCCATATAATAGTGCGGCGTAAAACTAGACTCACCCACTTCCAACAAACATATGACATAAATAGAGAATACTACACGAGGTCTCATTACATACGAATTATACGAAACGAGTGTCCTTCCTATGGTATCTGACCGAGCGAAAGGGAAGGTCACGAGTGGTATTTTATTTATTACCCACGTCTTACATGCATTAAATTGACAAAATAGCGTATTTTTGTTAATATTTTGGTTTTAAACCGAAACCGGTTTCATAAAGAGGTTGCGGAAGAGTTTTGTACATGTAGTACAATATTTGCATGACGTCACTGTAATGACGTCACTGCCTTGGTTAACCGACGTCACGATGCATGTCAGTTGTCATCGCCTCGTACAGCCTCCTACAGTAAACTACTCCGTAGCACCCCGTTTCTTGGTTTGCAGTTGCTTCATTCGGCTAACATCACTGGTGGAAACAATGCGTTTACGTTTTTCGACGGGTATAATGTCTCAGTTCGACTCACAATTAAACAGCGACACGGCAACGTTCGCGATGTTTATTCCACAATGCATTTAGGTTTTAGAATGAATGGATTCACGTGTTTGTTATGAGTGAAAATATAGTTACGTAGAATGTGACCTACCCAGTTAACACAAAACATTTTCGAAACGTTTTCATAATGTTTCAAAATAGTTTTTCAAAAACCTTTTCGTCAAAATGTTTTTGGAACGTTATAAAAAATGTTTCACAACAAATCATAATGTTATTTTTAAAACGTTGCAGAAATGTTTGTGCACGAACATGTTTGATGAAATATTGCCATCACGTTTTAAAACATTGTGCACACATTTATGCCATATCATACAAATAATGTCTAAATCTCTCAAAAATACTGAAAATGTTTTGAAATGCTATAACGTGTTTGAAACCATTTCACAACATATTGGTGAGATGTTTTTAAAACGCTGCAGGAATGTTATGCAAGAACATGTTTAATGAAATATTGTCATTACGTTTTAAAAACATTGTGCCCACATTTATGCCATATCATACAAACAGTGTGCGAAATAGCCACTGGCCCGGTAGCCCATGGCTAGTTAAAATCCAGTAGGGCCAGTACATCTCCACAGTCCCTGGCCCGACTGGCAAGTGAATTTTGGGATCATTTTGTAAATATATCACTCTCTCCGACTTGTTAATTTATAATACACTTTTAAATCATGCAAGATTATGGCCTGATGAAAATGTTCATCATATTAGCAGCTTAATGATGAAAGTCGTGCCATATCATACAAATAATTTGTAAATCTCTCAAGAATACTGAAAATGTTTTTAAATGTTTTCAAAATGTTATTCATAAACGTCATGCTATAACATGGGTGAATCTATTTCACAACATATTAGTGAAATTTTTAAAACGCTGCAGAGATTATGCAAGAACATAATCATACAAATAATGTGCGAATATCTAAAAAAATACTGAAAATGTTTTGAAATGTTTTCAAAATGTTGTTCAGAAACGTCATGCTGTAACATGGGTGAAACTATTTCATAACATATGATTGAAATGTTTTTAAAACATTGCAGAAATGTTGTGCAAGAACATGTTTAAAGAAATATTGTCATCACGTTTTAGAACACTATTTCTGTTGTAACGTTGGTGTGACATAAACAGTACATAAACTGCAATCACAAACAATTATCTCACTCAGCCACGTTCTAATGTATGACTTGTCATTAAAGTGCCTTAAAACGTTCCTGAAATGTTTTAGCCGGATCTGTCATCACCTTTAAAATGTGTTTTTTTATTATGACTTGTTCTTAAAAGGTTTTTGAAATGATATCACACCTACACGTTTTGATAACATTTTTAAAATGTTGCGACACAATGCCTTATTGTTACCGCGGGAAATGACGTCGGAATGACGTCACCCTTCACGTCATAATTTTGCACCCGCCATCTTAGTTGAAGTTTATTCAGGACCCTACCACCTTGTCATTCGACTCATGGTGCAACAACTGGAACTGGATCATCGATGTGACCTGGGTTGCGGTGAGTTAATTTTGCAGTCACTATTTTCATGTTTATGTACATTTTGATATTCACTCTATGAAAATACTGTGTTACTCAAAAAGTAGCGGGGTTTTAAGAAACATGATTCAGTGTTATTAGGGCTTCCAACAGAGAACCCCTGGTGACAGGGTTTTTTCGACGATGTAAGACAAAAAACGTAATTATATTTTACTAACCTTGAGTGAAAAGGGATATATTTATCTATTTCACACAAAAAATATCAAGTGTTTCCTACAAAAATAGCGTTGATGATATCATATCGGCGAAACTGTTGCTGATCTCCACATCTGGGATTTGTATACTTTTCGCTCGGCCATGCGAGTGAGTGTTGTGATCACGTGGCTTCCTGTTAAATCTGGTATATTGCTTGTCACCAGCAGACGACAGATCTTACAGATTTTTGCTATATTTGGTTATATAGGCAACTGATTTGCATCTGAAGTGGTATTAACGATCTCGGGTGATGATTTACATAAAAATATTGATCTAATTGCTTTTGCAGGAAGGAGATATAAACAAAGTCGAGGTTTGACACCAATATATAAGTGACATCGTTTGAAACCGTGTTGATTAGGGTTTTTCATGATTTTTCATGGTACAGTATTCCATAGTGAAAATGGCGTGGTCTCAGTTTAGTAAATGTTGGACCAACTGTTCCGCGAGTAAGGCTTGAATCATGTAGGTAGTTACAATAGATGTGTAATAAATCAATTCCAGTTTGATTCTGGGCTAGAAACGCTCGCCAGTAATCCATGTTTGTTGTAAATGGGCAGAGGTATTTCCAATCCGACGTCATACATGATGGTGTTAAATATACACACGTTGACCCACCAAAAACTTGGTGCAATGTCATAGTATGTTTCAGCTTTAGACTAACTAGATCTAGTTTATATGCTTTCTGGAAAACGGTTCAATTTGTAACTTGTGATAATGCGCAACATTGTTATTTTCATTGCAGCAAGGGCGAATATGAGACAAGCATTCCAGGATATACAAACACATGATGGATTTATGGAGGAATACATCAAATAATCCAGGAGCTGTGAATTATGTAAGTGCAGCTGTTAAATACCATTGTCTATAAACAGTTGATATATTTTGGGCTTTTATTGCAAGATTTGATTTGTACTTGTACCCAGCCTCTGACCAGTAAGTGATATTCTGTGCTTTGCTACATCTTTGGTATTCAGCATGATTCTGATATTACCATATCAATCATTACATGCCAATTGTGTGTTCATGTCCACCAAACACATGTCTGTACAAACGCGGTAGAAGAGTTAGTCTCCTGGTTAGTGTCACTTAGGTTTGAGTAAATATCACATTTCAAGTACCTGCTTAAGATTATTGAAAGTTTTCTATATTTCAGAAATATGGATGACTGCAAAAGCAAAGAAGAAGATAATGAAACAAACTGAAAATGTGTACACGTTTCCAGAATTATTAATAAAATTGTTGATTACAAGTCTGCCATTCTTTTATCTGTTTTGGTGTCCTTGTAAAGATTAACTATATATGTCCATAGGGAGCGTTAGAAAGACATATAGGTGTATAGACCCAACCCTATTATATAGTGAAAGGGTTGAGTCTACTCAGTCTAGACATCTATATGCCTTTTCTAACGCTGTTTCTAAGTGAGACACGCCCCTATTTTTATGTCTAACTATTTGCCACACACATATTCTGTACATTGTTAACTGTTAGTGTTCTACGTTTTGTGTCAGTGGTTTACGTTTTAAAACAAAACACCATCTAATTGTTATCAGGCCTATTCTATATGTTTGAAAAGTTAAAACTATATGTTCAAAGGAAATGTTATTAAAACGTTTCCAGAACCATACAAAATCACATCTATAAAATGTTTTCAGAAAACCTTTATGGAATATAATCACTAAATGTTGTAGAAAAAACATTGCTGAAACGTTTCTGGAACCATACAAAATCACGTGAATAAAACATTTTTAAAACATTTCCAAAACATCTCGAAGAAACATTTCAGGAAAACATTTTAAAACCTTATAGTTAAACGTTTTTGAAAATGTTTCTAAAACATTTCTGGAACCATACAAAATCACGTGAATATAACATTTTAAAAATGTTTCTGGAACATTTCACGAAATGTTTTGGGGATATTTTAGAACATTTTCGTGTTAGCTGGGTAATTGAGAGGTCATCGGTTATCCAATCAAATCGTTAGAATCTCAGGTAAAGTCGTTACGACACAGGTCAACGCGATACGACACTCGTGTGACGTACGAGATTAGTATGCAACTACCCATACGTTGACCACGTGGGTAATAAATACGTTTATTAGATACATTTAATCAACAGGACATAGTCTGTCAATATATTTGGCTGCATCTATACTCGATGCCTTCACAACATATCTAAAGACGTTCCCGGGATTTGCATTATCGTAAAAGTCATGACAGTATTTTGTATCCAAAAGCTGCCACACTCCCCCTTCTTCCATCATCTTCATTAGGGGCGCCAGTCGGTTCACGTAGTCCTTGACCTCTGTGAACCGGGAGTCAGGGACTCCGAAGCATATCAACCCACCTGAAATGTATCAGCGATTTAGGGTTCATCTGTTACATAATTTTGAAACACCCAGCTCCTTTGTGTCCGACAAACAGTTATTTTTTTTTTTTTATCAAACCTTAATACAATACAAGGCTGGGCTACTCTGCCAAACTTAACAGGTCAAATCATGTGTCATGTGTCATATTTTCTTTCAATCCCAAGGCATAAATCTTCATAATATACTACTTGAAAGGAATGAGTGATGTAACACCGGTTTGATTGGAATTACATTTAAAAGTGATGAACCCAAGAGTAGATGACGACAAAAGCATCTACTAAGACTTTGTACGAATAGAATAACATCTTCGGCATGTATTAATGAATCGCTATCAACTACTGATGATAATAGGTGTCCAGTAACAGGTTAACGTAGAAGTGCCGCCAGCGGTACGCGTCACAAACGCACGCAATGGCAAGTCAACAATTCAGATACACGTATTCAGAGTAGTGCCACAGCTCACCTGGCTTGACCAAACGCGCCATCTCAGGAAGAGCTGCACATGGGATGAATCCAGTATTGAAGGCAGCGGCTACCACCAGGCAATCGTAGGCATCTGAAAACAACACACAGGACATACTTAATTCTTTATTACTACAATTTGGGTTGAACAGAATGGCACGGGTAATTTCAGAGCTCACGCAGTGATACCCTTTCCAACACCCGTCAGTTCCCGTCAAATAATGAACATATATGTAGCCCATTTACTGTGAAATTCCCTGAATCTGTTTTTTTTATTATTGCAGTTTACCCATGAAGATCCGGGGGAGAATTGATCTTCAGTAACCCATGCTTGTCGTAAGAGGCGACTAACGGGATCGGGTGGTCAGGCTCACTGACTTGGTTGACACATGTCATCGGTTCCCAATTGCGCAGATCGATGCTCATGCTGTTGATCACTGGATTGTCTGGTCCAGACTCGATTATTTACAGACCGCCGCCACACAGCTGGAATATTGCTGAGTGCGGCGTAAAACTAAACTCACTCACTCAATTTCATTGCAGTTGCTATCAGTTTCATGATAACATCGTAATTCCATCTTAAAATGTGCATAGTATGTATCTCGTCTTGGTTACACTATATATGAAGTACTTGTACATCTAAAGATTTTTCAATGTAATTGTTTTCAGGTTTATAATAACCTAGTAATGATGCCATAACACGTACACATTATGTAACTTTTCTTGCTTACAATTAATATAAAGCACATACAACATAAGATTTTTTTTTGTAGTTGCTTTCATAATAACCTAGCAATTCTGTCTTAAAATGTGCATTTAAAGTAACTTGTGTTGCTTACACTATATATGACGAACACATATTTTACATATATAAAGATTTCTACAATTACAGTTAAATATTGATAAACGTTACAAGTCCTTTCTTCGAAACAGACCTGAATGTGTTTTCAGACTCGATATGACATGAGAGGAAACAGCGCATGTCTGTCTACCTGTCGCCAATCCGTCTATAGGTTTGCCGTCCATGAATTCCGTGTAGTAATTAGTGTAGACGCCTTTCCTGGTGGCTTCTACCTTCATACCATCCGAGGGGTCAAGGCCGTCCATTAGCCGAAACCCTTTCTTCCGTAACTGCAACAAATCATTCACAATAATTGTTCTTTTTTCTAAGGCGGCGGTGAGGGTAGCCTTGTGGTTAAAACGTTTGCTCGTCACGCCGAAGACCCGGGTTCGATTCCCCACATGGGTACAATGTGTGAAGCCCATTTCTGGTGTCCCCCGCCGAGATATTGCTGGAATAGTGCTAAAAGCGTCGTAACACAATACTCACTCACTTCTTTTCTAAGAGTTATCTACCCTTGAACATACGGAATCGAACTTGTGTTGTATTCCAAGAGGCAAATGAGGTGGCCAGGCTCGCTGACTTTGATTCATGTAATCGACACCCACATTGCGTAGATCAATGGTCGTGATGGCAATCACTGAATTGTCTCGTCCAGATATGATTGTTTAAAGACCACCCTTTTGAAGCTGAAGTAATGCTAAGTGTCACGTGACACAGCAAACTAAGAGTTATCGCGAAGAGTGGTGGTATTATTGTATTACTAAACATTTCACATGGTTGAGGCAAGTTTGCGATTTCTGAGCAAAATACCAATTAGGTAATGAGTAAATACAATAATATCTTCACCAACATATCAGCAAAATAGGGATGAACGTTATATGGGTTTTTAAGAAGGGGCGGCGGTATAGCCCAGTGGTAATTAGCGTTGCACGTCACGCCGAAGACCCAGGTTCGATTCCCCACATGGGTACAATTTGTAAAGCCAATCGGTGTTACCATCCGTGATATTGCTGAATTTTTGCAAAAGCGGCGTAACCTTATACTCACATTCCCAGTCGGTTTGGAAAGCAATCCAGGTTCGAGAAATGAAAGTTTGAAAGAGATTACAATTCGCCCCCACCAACCTCCTCCGCCAACATGCCAGTCCCGGCCCCCACGTCCAGCACACGGACAGACTCTCTGTCCCCCGGGTAGTAGTCCACTACACCTTCAGCCACATACACGTGGTCCCTGTAATCTCTGGCTTTCCACGTCTGGAACACAGGAACCGTCAGCTGTACAAAGCGATCTCGTTTTTATTTCATTGCGACTACTATTTCAAATTGTTTGTTGTTTAACGCCGTACACAGAAGTTTACAATATATTTGACGGCAGTCTGTAAATAACTGAGTCTGGACCAGACAAACCAGTGACTGACATCACGATCATCGATTTACGATCATCGATAACTGAGATACGATGACATACATCAACCAAGACTGACCACCCGTTCCCGTTAATCGCCTCTTAGGACAAACATGATTATTGCTGAAGAACAGTTTTAACCCGGATCTTACCGGTTGAGCAAACATACGCGTATACTCTGGAGGCGGTGTGTCGGAAATCGAGACTTTTCAAACTACAATCCAATAACCTTTGATGGAAGAAACTTAATGATATTTTCCTCAATTATTTCCTTTTTTTATAGCTTCCAACTTGGATTGTGCATAATAAAATGACATGATTTGAAATGAAAATATAAATACTGACATGCCTCACCAAGGTCTAATAATAGTATCAGTACTTATCAGCAATGCTTCTTCAGAGATGTTATTAATGTTATTCAACACATACCAGATCACCTGGAACCTTTCCGTTATAATAACATTAGGTGACCTGTGACGACAACTGGCTTCCGCAATATAGCTTTGATATTGCTGATTCCTGTGGTAAACAGCAACAATCACACCGTCATGGTCAGCAAAATATTTCAAGCGGTCGTAAAATATCCCGAACGTCAAATGTTAAAACACTAATTTCAATTTTTGGTTCTCTAAGGGCGAAAGAGAACACGTTTCGTTGCAGTGTTATTTATTCCACGTATTTTAAGGTAGTGGAGGTGTGCTGTTTGACCGGATAAAATAGTTACCCCTCAACCTATACTTATGCCTAAGAGGGAACCAAATGGACAGGATGGTCAGATTTAGTAAAACTACAACACCCTTGATTAATTGGGAAGGTGGATGTTCCGCTCACTGGGTTATAGGGCGCAGACTCAATTTTCTTACAGACAGTTTTCCTGTGGTTGGAGTATTGCTGAGTGTGGCTGTCTGTAAACAACAAACGAAACAGAACAGCACGAAGATCTGATGCTAATTCAAGAAAGTACTTGAGCGGAAGTGACGTGTAACTCATCTCAGATGCCCAAATGTATCGATCTCCGTGTTCCGGTGATAAACTCACCGATCATTCCTGTTGATAGCATTGCTCCGGTGATAAACTCATCGATCATTCCCCGTTAATATCATTGTTCCAGTGATAAACTCACTGATAATTCCCCGTTAATATCATTGTTCCAGTGATAAACTCACTGAAAATTCCCCGTTGATTCCATTGTTACTGTGACAAGCTCACCGATAATTCCCCATTAATATCATTGATCCAGTGATAAACTCACCGATAATTCCCCGTTAATATCATTGATCCAGTGATAAACTCACCAATAATTCCCCGTTAATATCATTGTTCCAGTGATAAACTCACCGATAATTCCCCGTTAATATCATTGTTCCAGTGATAAACTCACCAATAATTCCCCGTTAATATCATTGATCCAGTGATAAACTCACCAATAATTCCCCGTTAATATCATTGTTCCAGTGATAAACTCACCGATAATTCCCCGTTAATATCATTGTTCCAGTGATAAACTCACTGATAATTCCCCGTTAATATCATTGTTCCAGTGATAAACTCACCAATAATTCCCCGTTAATATCATTGATCCAGTGATAAACTCACCAATAATTCCCCGTTAATATCATTGTTCCAGTGATAAACTCACCGATAATTCCCCATTAATATCATTGTTCCAGTGATAAACTCACTGATAATTCCCCGTTAATATCATTGTTCCAGTGATAAACTCACCGATAATTCCCCGTTAATATCATTGTTACTGTGACAAGCTCACCGATAATTCCCCATTAATATCATTGATCCAGTGATAAACTCATCGATAATTCCCCGTTAATATCATTGTTCCAGTGATAAACTCACCGATAATTCCCCGTTAATATCATTGTTCCAGTGATAAACTCACCGATAATTCCCCGTTAATATCATTGTTCCAGTGATAAACTCACTGATAATTCCCCATTAATATCATTGTTCCAGTGATAAACTCACCGATAATTCCCCATTAATATCATTGTTCCAGTGATAAACTCACTGATAATTCCCCATTAATATCATTGTTCCGGTGATAAACTCACCGATAATTCCCCATTAATATCATTGTTCCAGTGATAAACTCATCGATAATTCCCCATTAATATCATTGTTCCAGTGATAAACTCATCAATAATTCCCCATTAATATCATTGTTCCAGTGATAAACTCACCAATAATTCCCCGTTAATATCATTGATCCAGTGATAAACTCATCGATAATTCCCCGTTAATATCATTGTTCCAGTGATAAACTCACCAATAATTCCCCGTTAATATCATTGATCCAGTGATAAACTCATCGATAATTCCCCGTTAATATCATTGTTCCGGTGATAAACTCACCGATAATTCCCCATTAATATCATTGTTCCGGTGATAAACTCACCGATAATTCCCCGTTAATACCATTGATCCAGTGATAAACTCACCGATAATTCCCCATTAATATCATTGTTCCAGTGATAAACTCATCGATAATTCCCCGTTAATATCATTGATCCAGTGATAAACTCATCGATAATTCCCCATTAATATCATTGTTCCAGTGATGAACTCATCGATAATTCCCCGTTAATATCATTGTTCCAGTGATAAACTCATCGATAATTCCCCATTAATATCATTGTTCCAGTGATAAACTCACCGATAATTCCCCATTAATATCATTGTTCCAGTGATAAACTCATCGATAATTCCCCGTTAATATCATTGTTCCAGTGATAAACTCATCGATAATTCCCCGTTAATATCATTGTTCCAGTGATAAACTCATCGATAATTCCCCATTAATATAATTGTTCCAGTGATAAACTCACCGATAATTCCCCGTTAATATCATTGATCCAGTGATAAACTCACCAATAATTCCCCGTTAATATCATTGTTCCAGTGATAAACTCATCGATAATTCCCCGTTAATATCATTGTTCCAGTGATAAACTCACCGATAATTCCCCGTTAATATCATTGATCCAGTGATAAACTCATCGATAATTCCCCGTTAATATCATTGTTCCGGTGATAAACTCACCAATAATTCCCCGTTAATATCATTGATCCAGTGATAAACTCATCGATAATTCCCCGTTAATATCATTGTTCCGGTGATAAACTCACTGATAATTCCCCATTAATATCATTGTTCCGGTGATAAACTCACCGATAACTCCCCGTTAATACCATTGATCCAGTGATAAACTCACCGATAATTCCCCATTAATATCATTGTTCCAGTGATAAACTCACCGATAATTCCCCGTTAATATAATTGTTCCAGTGATAAACTCACCGATAATTCCCCGTTAATATCATTGTTCCAGTGATAAACTCACCGATAATTCCCCGTTAATATCATTGATCCAGTGATAAACTCACCAATAATTCCCCGTTAATATCATTGTTCCAGTGATAAACTCACTGATAATTCCCCGTTGATTCCATTGTTACTGTGACAAGCTCACCGATAATTCCCCATTAATATCATTGATCCAGTGATAAACTCACCGATAATTCCCCGTTAATATCATTGATCCAGTGACAAGCTCACCGATAATTCCCCATTAATATCATTGTTCCAGTGATAAACTCACTGATAATTGCCCGTTAATATCATTGTTCCAGTGATGAACTCACCGATAATTCCCCATTAATATCATTGTTCCAGTGATAAACTCACTGATAATTCCCCGTTAATATCATTGTTCCAGTGATAAACTCACCAATAATTCCCCATTGATCCAAATATTACTGTGATAAACCCACCGATAATTACCCGCTGATATCACTGTTTTCTTTAATAAATTCACTGATATTTCCCCGTTGAAAACATTGTTCCAGTGATAAACTCACCGATAATTCCTATTTATGCCTAACCAAACCCTATTACCCATCCGTGGGTAAGTCAAATATTCATCTGAGTACACACGGGAAGGAAATTCCCCAAACGTGTGAATTGTGGACAAATGTTCTAATTCTGCTTAACACAAATAGAAAGTAGTTACAGTGTGGAGTAGCGTACTCACTCACGTACTAGCTCAGAATCTAGTTACAAACTCATTCCCCCAATACCCACCCAGGCACCCAATACCCACCCAGGCACCCAATACCCACCCAGGCACCAAATACCCACCGAGGCACCCAATACCCACCGAGGCACCCAATACCCACCGAGGCACCCGATCATCCATCCACTCACTCACTTCATCATACACGCTTGCAACTTTGTTGAAGACTTCCGCGATCTGATCAGGCGACATTTCTTCTCTTTTCTCAAAATCACAAAATGCAATGCGTCCTGGTTCCGCCATCCTGAAACGAAAGTATCAATGATCAGGTACATGTTGGGACATACACTGTATACCTACATCTATCTATATTTACATATGTGTGTGTCTGTGTGTGTGTGTCTCTCTCTCTCTGTGTGTCTGTCTGTCTGTCTGTCTGTAAGTATGTATGTATGTCTATCTATATCTACATATGTGTGTCTGTGTGTGTGTGTGTGTGCCTCTCACTCTCTGTACGTATGTATGTATCATGTCTATCTATATCTACTTATGTGTGTCTGTCTGTGTGTGTCTCTCTCTTTTATATGTATGCATGTCTATCTATATCTACATATGTGTGTCTGTATGTGTGTCTCTCTCTCTGTGTATGTATGTATGTCTATCTATATCTACATATGTGTGTCTGTGTGTCTTTCTCTGTGTATGTATGTATGTCTATCTATATCTACATATGTGTGTCTGTGTGTGTGTGTCTCTCTCTCTCTCACTCTGTACGTATGTATGTATGTATGTATGTATGTCTATCTATATCTACATATGTGTGTCTGTGTCTCTCTCTGTGTACGTATGTATGTAAGTCTATCTATATCTACATATGTGTGTATGTGTGTGTCTCTCTCTTTCTCTCTGTATGTATGTATGTGCGCGAGTGTGTACGTGTGTGTGTGCGCGCGCGTGCGTACGCACATATCTATATACCTGTTACTGAAGGCGCACACACGATTTCCCATCAATTACATGTCACTGTGTCCTCGACATCATTTTGCAACATGACTACCACCTATATTGAATACAGCTGACTTTCCATCGACATGAATCTTGCACATAGTACAGGTTATATTACGTGGAATGTCAACTGTATGGCTCATATTACGTAGCTGTTCCAAAGACAGCAACCCGCATTACATGGAAGCTCCACATACTACAACACATGTTACATGAATGTTCCACAGACTACACACCCGTGAAGATCAGGCTTAGAATTGGTCTTCAGTAATCCATGCTTGTCGAAAGAGGCGACTTACGGGATCAGTTGGTCAGGCTCGCTGACTTGGTTGACACACGTCATCGCATCCCAATTGCGTAGATCGATGCTCATGCTGTTGATCACAGAATTGCCATTATTTACAGACCGCCGCCATATCGCTGGAATATTGATTAGTGCGACGTAAAACTAAACTCACTCACTCACCCCACATATTACAACACATAATACATGGATGTTCCACATACTACAACACATGTTACATTGATGTTCCACATACTACAACACATAATACATGGATGTTCCACAAGGTACAACACATATTCCAAGGATGTTCCACATATTATAACACATATTACATTGATATTCCACATACTTGAAGACTCATATTACATGGATGTTCCACATACTACAACACATATTACATGGATGTTCCACATACTGCACCACATATTCCATGGATGTTCCACATACTACAACACATATTCCATGGATGTTCCACATACAACACATATTCCAAGGATGTTCCACAAGGTACAACACATATTCCATGGATGTTCCACATATTATAACACATATTACATTGATATTCCACATAGTTGAAGACTCATATTACATGGATGTTCCACATACTACAACACATATTACATGGATGTTCCACATACTACACCACATATTCCATGGATGTTCCACATACTACAACACATATTCCATGGATGTTCCACATACTACAACACATATTCCATGGATGTTCTACAGACTACAATACATATTACATGAATATTCCACAAACCACACACATATTACATGGGTGTTCCACATATTATAACACATATTACATGGATGTTCCACATATTACAACATATATTCCACAGATGTTCAACAGATTATAACACATATTACATGGATGTTCCACAGATTATAGCACTTATTCCATGGATGTTTCACAAACTACAACACATATCCCATGGATGTTCCACAGAATACAACACATATTACATGCATGTTCCACATATAACAACACATATTCGATGCATGTTCCACATACTTGAACACACATATTCCATGGATGTTCCACATACTACAACATATATTCCCCAGATGTTCAACAGATTATAACACATGTTACATGGATGTTCCACAGAATACAACACATATTACATGCATGTTCCACATACTTGAACACACATGTTACATGCATGTTCCACAGAATACAACACATGTTACATGGATGTTCCACATACTACAACACATATTCCATGGATGTTCCTCAAGCTACAACACATATTACATGCATGTTCCACAGTATAAAATAAATATTATATGGGTTTTCCTCAGATTACAACACTTATTACATGCATGTTCCACAGTATACAACACATATGACGTGGATGTTCCGCAGACTTCAATACATATTACATGGATGTTCCTCAGATTACAATACATATTACGTGGATGTTCCACAGATTACAACACTTATTACATGGATGTTCCACAGATTACAACACTTATTACATGGACGTTCCTCAGATTACAACACTTATTACATGGATGTTCCACAGATTAGAACACTTATTACATGGATGTTCCACAGATTACAACACTTATTACATGGACGTTCCTCAGATTACAACACTTATTACATGGATGTTCCACAGATTACAACACTTATTACATGGATGTTCCACAGATTACAACACTTATTACATGGATGTTCCACAGATTACAACACTTATTACATGGACGTTCCTCAGATTACAACACTTATTACATAGATGTTCCACAGATTACAACACTTGTTACATGGATGTTCCACAGATTACAACACTTATTACATGGATGTTCCACAGATTACAACACTTATTACATGGATGTTCCACGGATTACAATACATATTACATGGATGTTCCTCAGATAACAACACTTATTACATGGATGTTCCACAGATTACAATACATATTACATGCATGTTCCACAGATTACAACACTTATTACATGGATGTTCCACAGATTACAACACTTATTACATGCATGTTCCACAGTATACAACACATATGACGTGGATGTTCCACAGACTACAATACATATTACATGGATGTTCCTCAGACTACAACACTTATTACATGGACGTTCCTCAGATTACAACACTTATTACATGGACGTTCCTCAGATTACAACACTTATTACATGGATGTTCCTCAGATTACAACACATATTACATAGATGGTCCACACAGAAGGCTGACAGGATGGACTGTAGGTCATCGTATTATTACATGTTGTAGTGACCGTGTTTTTAGCGGTGTAAATCCATATACAACTACCTGTCACGGCCTTTACCTGAATGATTAATGAATAATGTGGGTTGGCGTACCGAGTAACATATGTTCGTCACACACTGCTGTCTTGCACATAGTTTTTACGCTTGCCTGAACACTTGTAATGATTACTACAGAACGCATGGGTAAGTGGGTACACAGTGTGTATATACGCCCACAGAAGGATACAAATGCCACAGGGGACACAGCTAGTGGTAAGCACAGGGTACACAGGAACATATATTGGGCACATATATGGTTCACTCGTGGGTCTCACAGGACACATACGGGGTACGGAAAGAGCATATACATGACACACACAAGACATATACAGGGCACCCAAAGAGCATATACATGACACATTGAGAACACATACGGGGCACAGAATGGACATGAACATGACACATACGGGGCACAGAAAGGACATACACATGACACATGCAGGACACACACGTGGTACAATATAGAAGCTATTATCCAGATGATACTTGTTACACACGACACATACAGGGTACATACGGGACTCATATAGTTGTATTGGCCTCCTACAAGAGCAATCATGATCCATTACTCTCCTAATGGTATTCCACGTGAACTAAACTAGCATCATACTTAAAGGAATCCATCAATCGATACTCACAAGCTGGAAGCTATGACGTTTCACGTGGTCTATATACGTCCCACTAAAATTTCCTTTATGAACAAAGGCGGTAGGGTAACCTAGTGGTTAAAGCGTTCGCTCGTCACACCGAAGACCCGGGTTCGATTCCCCACATGGGTTCAATGTGTGAAGCCAATTTCTGGTGTCCCCCGCCTGTGATATTGCTGGAATATTCGGCTAAAAGCGGCGTAAAACCACACTCACTCCTTTATAAACATGGCGTCAGTGTCATTGCAATCGCTTCAACATACTGATTTAACGGATCTCCTAAAACAAGACAGACAACTTGATGACTCTAAATAATCATGTTAACTTACTGCTTTTTGAATGAATGAGTATTTTATGTTTCAGAAATGTAAGTGATTACTTAAGGTTTTTAATCCGTTACACGAAGCAGAGGTTATTCGATATATGTATACGTCTATTCAAATAAATATTAATAGCTTTGGCGTTTCGTTTTTGTTATCTAAACATCTATTCCTTTTGGCGATGTAATAAGCTGTGATTCAGAATAAGGTCAAGTCAATGTGATGGGCGCAAATAGGCCTCTTACTAGCCCATGTCGCCCTAAAGCTATGAAACAAACCAACCATAACCACCACCTCTACTTTTAATGCATTTGTGTAAATAACAAGTACTATTAGTCTAGTCACAAACTGTAATATGGGAGATAGTATAGCCAAGTGGTTCTGGCGTTCTATCGGTACGCATGGAGCCCATTTCTGATGTTAATGTCATTAGATAAAGTCTTTATTGCTAAATTTGAGGGGCGCCTAAAAATGCTTTGCTGTGGAGAATCAAGCCCAAATTTCTTAACAACAAGGCTATCCACCATTTCAACCATCCAATCCACCGAATAAGCTTTATCAACATTAAATTGATGTATCGTGTTAGGGTGATGGAACGGTATAGCTGTTGTAGAGTAATTGAGCAATATGGTCTGATAAGGCATCGTTTCGAACTGTATGTCGTCTCTCCAGATGAACGACTTCAAATGGGAACTGCTATAAGAAATCACGAAAGTTCATAATTGTGATATTCATGTGGTAGCTCTTGTCCATTCAAATAGAGTTGTTGTTTAGAACACCTTCTTCTTTGGTTGAATCAAATGACGTTATGATTATCCCGCATGTTACGTCAACACGATACCCGTGATATTAGCCTTCATCAAAATGATATTATTTAAATGTCAAAGATCTGTGTGTTTTGGGGGTTACATGTCAGATTTACCTAAAACTCTCTTATACTGATATACAATCAGCTCGACGATGAACACATCTTACTCACTCACAAACTAGGGCGGACAGACCACCCAATCGTCTAATTCGCTAAGTGCAGAGTTACGTCCCTTGGGCAGAGTTACGGCCCTTGCGCGAGGTTACGTCAGCAACCTGTGACAGTTGGTTTGAATCGCGATGACGTTTCTAGGTTTGCCAGCAGTTTACTGTACTCAAAGGGCAAAGTGCATTACTTCGGTCTTTCCTCCCACATTAACCAGCCACGGAGTGATGGAACCGGAATACTTCATTACACCCAACTTACTCTCCCACTCCGTATATCCACTCATATCACTCGGTAAACTATCACCTTGGGTCTTGGACTTGCGCATAGACTTTGTCCATTGAATTCTAAAAGTGTTTCAGGACAATCACTTCCGATCTAAACAGTATCCAACATTTTCTTGTCCTAGTTCGTTCCAAGACTCACACAAAGTTCCATCATACATCAAATGCAGTTTAATCGATGTCATATCCGTAGGTTCGATACATCCGATTTCTTAAATACCACAGCAAACACATTAGGTTCAAAATTTTACTCTTCTCTTTCAGGCACTTTTATATTCACTATTGTCACTTCTGGTAAAACAAATATGTTGAAACTGCTATTTTAATCCTTACCTCCGACTTGGGGGCCAGATGTGTCGTTATACTGAAAGGTCCGTTAAATTGACGGTCGACTGCTGCTGCCAGTTTTCGTATTCACACTTGATATCCTGGTCGTCTTACATTCCTGTCTGATCTTGATATCTTCCTAACACGACTGTAATAACCCTATTTGTGTGCACACCTGCTGGTTAGGCCATTCGTATCATTATGTTTGTTTCACATCGCAGTGCTCACCTTCAGAGTATGAGGGCGTGTGAAAAAAAACATCTTTGCTTAAGAAGTTATTTTTATGTCATTACTGCATGAAAACCTCAGGCACGACCCCTGTAATGAAAAGCCCTTTGACCACGTGCATATAAAATCACATCGTTACTATGGTACAGTGTTAATGGTAGCTGTAACGATGTTGGAAGACGAAGCTCCTTTCAGATACAATACAACGTAAGCATATTTTCTATAAAATTCGTCGATATTTTTCTAAGAGTTGGAGGTTGATTAAAGTTGGATGTTCGTTAGAAATGTAATACCTTGTTTATATTTTTAAGTGGAATGGTAATTCAGACGACAACCACACCTGTACTACTGACGGCCTTGCGCTGATTGTCATGCCCCACAAACCTCATGTAATGAATAACGATGGCGCAAATAGCATTGCTTGAATTCCGTTACATATACAATCAATACATGTACAGCGGTTTTTCGCATGTTTCAGGGAAAACGTAAATCAACATTACCTTAGTTCCATTAAGTCCGCGGACAGAAATCAATTCACAAGGCTTCTCCGAGAAGTTTAGATCCGTAATTACTTCACGTAATGACGAGAAGGTACATCGTCATGGAATTTTTTAGCTGGTACAGATCGAGATATCGATCTCTATGTAGGTCGTCCTTTGATCCGGTCATCGACTCGGAGGCTGAGTTCATGACATGCGCGACCTATAATACACGCTTGAGTGACTGGGTTTGGTTTGACTCCCGTCAATAATGTATTTCACTATAAATACACTATATACTATAGTCCGTTTGGCTCAAAATCGGACCGATGAATTGCAATCTAACTCGAAAACTACTAAACATATAATACTTAATAAAACGCTGATCATAATCAAAATATCAGATCAACTCTGTGATGTTTTCGCAGAATTTAGATCCTAAAAATGAAAAAGTTGTTTAACAAACTATCATTAAAAGTTTGACAAACTTCACCATTTGTTACGAGGGATGGCTGCAAAGAGAGGAACAGTCAGGGGTGTCTTCAAATTAGGAATATACATTCCGTAAAGTATTGGTCAAATTCAGAGCTGGTGTCTTACGTTGGGGTATCCTAGTTGCTAAAGCGTTCGCTCGTCACGCCGAAGACCCGGGCTCGATACCCCACTTCGGTACAATGTGTGAACCCCATTTCTAGTGTCCACCGCCATGATATTGCCGGAATAGTACTAAAGCGGTGTAAAACTAAACTCATTCACTCATTTACTAATACTAGCATTACTACTGCCAAAAGTATTCTACCAATATTCTCACTCCTTGTGTATTCAGAAATTTTATGGTCATATTCACATAACACCCTAAAGGATACTCAAATCAAATTTCAAAGATTGAAAATGGGTCGTGGCGAACTGGCAGAATAACAAATCAGATTTGAATTCCCTCTGCCTTTCAAAAGGTACCGTTTTACTTATTGAAATACGGACAGTCGTGTGTTTTCAAATACATTTGAAATGGTCCCTTCTGTTCATGGTGCCTTATACACAATGTTGAAACTTTTCTCAGTTTAGGTATTGCCCCATATTTAAGAAATTGTTTAACAAAATTTAGATGCGGTAAATTTATACTAAGTTCTGAGACCGGTAGATATATAACAATGTCCCTTATTATTCAATATTCTGTTTTTTTTGCTACAAAAATAATCTTAATTTAACTGAAGATGAAATACATGTTTTACTTTATTGTAAAGCCTACTATGAATGACCCCCTAAAATTGATGTGCAAAGTAGCTCCCCTCCCCTTGCAATTGCATGTCATGTACAGAATTGCTGACCCACTCCCGAGCACATATGTACAAAACTGACGACCCCTACCCCCAGAACAAAATGGATCTCCCTTAACATCATCATCAACCCCCCAACCCCCTAGCCATCAATTATGAACGGCCCCTAAGACATGTCTAGTCAGCACATTCTACAGAGCCTACCCCTGGATGTTTATTGAAGAATCATTCTCCACAGCTTCTAATATGGTTCAACGTGGTGAGTTTAATGGATCTGTTTTAGCTGGCACTGATCCAAACATATAATTAAAGTAAGTATTTGCAACGAACAGATTATCAACAAACCAACCCGTGATACCTCGAGCTCAACTTCATCCACACTTACAGATCGTGTGCTTGGGCCCTGACTTGACCCACATGATATTCTAAATTCCACAAAGCAAGCTGTGAAGGTGCACTCATCGACTGGTAATTAAGATAGTACCTGGGCTGATGAAAGCCTAACCAGCCTGAATGTGCTAGGATCACCCAACCTATTCCTCTGCTGCAATTTATTTTAATCTGTAAAATTTCATATGGGTCGCCAAGTTTATGTACCTGACACCTGTTCGTGTGTTAAAGTTTGTTTGCTGTTTGCTCGTTGTGTACTTGATCATAATATTGCATGCCACCTTATCCCAACTGCCTGATCTGAATATCACGTTTTGGAATAGTATTTTACAGAACAAAAATAAAAAATTCAAAAGGCATCTCATTTTCACTGGCCCGCTAGCCTGTGGCTAGTAAAAATCCAGCCGGGACAGTAAATCTCCACAGTCACTGGCCCGACTGGCCAGTGAATTTCCATGGGGTCATTTTTTAAATATATCACTCTCACCGACTTGTTAAGTTATAGTGCACCTTTAAATCATGCACGATTATGGCCTGATAAATAATAGTATTTTACCTTTTTGTAACCTTTTGCTTAGTTTCTACATTCAAATTTCGGGCTAAAAGCTGCGTATAAACCATACTCACTCACTTACCATGTGGTGTAATTTAGATTAAGTTTGAAATAGCGAATGACATGTGTTAAGGTACACAGAGTGGGACCACAATGAACTCGACAGCAGAAGGCATGTACGCAATACACCTCCATATATTTCACATAAGGTTTGGCTACCCCGTGCTATGACACATCTAACTTGATATCTGTATCAGTACATATACTGAAGTTGTTCGTGCTACCTATATCAACAGCAATAATGTTCCTTTATGTTATAAAATGCATTAAATACATTAAATATATTACAGTACAGTGATACAGATTCATTATGATGACGCCAGTACATTAACTCTCAAATGTACGTTTCTTAGACTGGTTAACTTGTAAGTTAACGAGTGGTTGATATTATGAACAAGGTCCGAACAGGATGACCAGGTCACCTTTATGTAAAGGATTCAGTTCATCCAGTGGATGACAAGATGACAATGATGGAACTGGTAGTCATATAAGTCTAACGCATCTACAACAGTGTTATCTTTTCTGGCCAGGAATGTCATATGAACAAGACTAAGTGACAACTAGAAAGTGTTTTTACTCGTAAAAACAGATGTCTCCCCCTTCCCCCAATTCAACGTTGAGGCCTCAAACAATCATTTGATTCCTTCACTTTCAAAATCTCTAAGTATAAAAATATATATTATTGATAGTATGTTATTATTTTTGTAAGGTCTTCATTTAGTATTTTTATGTTCAATTGAACTTAATTGTTTATCAACAAATCAACAACTCCACAGTTATATTTTACAAAACATTCAGAATTCTAAATGATTCAGTTTCGAAATACATGAATGAATCTGTTGTTTTTCAGTCACAGAGTTTATAGTAGTACATGTATATGGTTGATGCTTCTACGTTTACTAATAATTGGTATTAAGTATACAAAATTGGTGAAGATGGGGGGAGTGGTTTTAGAGTTATGCTCCGAACACAAACCCTACCCTTCAACACGACCAAGTCCAAATTTGTTGCCATTGAAACAGAAAAAAAAGAATTAAAAGAATAGTTCAAACCCCCAAAACGCGCATCTACATGATATGGAGAGGCAGTATAGCAAATTTGGTGAAGATTGTTCAAGTAGTTTTAGAGTTATGTTCCGGAAACAATAGGAACGCCGGCGCCGACGGAAACTCAACCAAAAACAATATGTCTCCCCACCCTTCGGGGGAGACATAATTCAATAATTACTGTTTAGACATTAACAAGGTAATACAACAATGATGTTGATTTCTTAAAGCCGTTCCCTATCTAAATCAAGAAAACATAACATGGTGAGAAAAAGAGAGCAGTTTATAGACAATCATAATGATTTACCTTTCCGTCTGTACCGCGTCAGAAGAGATATGTACACGTTCAGAACGGTGCTTTCCCACTCAAATCATGATCATGAAGTACGAGCTGTCTGTTCTCTTCCAAGCTTTTCGCTCTGATTCACACGAGCAGGTTAGGGCAGTACAATATATGTCATCGAACTCTCGTGACTGGTTCAGTGGTCACTGTAAGCAGTGACACATAACTGACTTATTAAAGTACAGTACGGTTCCGCTATCTTTTGTCCGGACCTTCCAAGCCACAAATCGGACAAAACTGCATTCCTGGTGCCTCTCCAGTGATACGGGTGCACTCCTGGTGTCATTCCAGTGACACCATTGCACTCGTGGTGTCACTCCAGCGATACAGCTGCACTCCTAGTGTCACTTCAGTGATACAGCTGCACTCCTAGTGTCACTTCAGTGATACAGCTGCACTCCTAGTGTCACTTGTCATACAGCTGCACTCCCAGTGTCACCCCAGCGATACAGCTGCACTCCTAGTGTCACTCCAGTGATACATCTGCACTCGTGGTGTCATACCAGTGATACAGCTGGACTCCTAGTGTCACTACAGTGATAAAGCTGCACTCGTGGTGTCATACCAGTGACACAGTTGGACTCCTAGTGTCATTCCAGTGATACAGCTGCACTCCTGGCGTCACTCAAGTGATACAGCTGCACTCCTGGCGTCACTCCAGTGATACAGCTGCACTCCTGGCGTCACTCCAGTGATACAGCTGCACTCCTGGCGTCACTCAAGTGATACAGTTGCACTCCTGGCGTCACTCCAGTG